GGTTCAAAAGGACAAGAAAGTCCTTGAGACTGCTATCTCCAATAAACCACCAGAAAACCAGAAGTGGCGCTGTGGCTCAAGCAGTAGAGCCCTTGCCTTGAGCTGAAGAGTGCAGGGACAGCACCCAAGCCCAGAGTTCAGGCCCCACAATGGACAAAGAGATTAAAAAAAAAAGTAATATTAATTTGCTTATAAAATAATACATTCGAACAGTTGAAATCAAATAGTATCCCTAAAACCATTTAATAATCCTGTTAACTTTTGCCAAAGTGAGTAAGGATTTCACTGTCTTCCATTTTCCTCCTTTATACTCACTCCATTTTGACCTTTGTTTCAGATTTTTTCATACATAGTAGTACATGCTGTTTATCTATGACATTGCTAAGAAGCCTTTCTGATTGAAGAAAAAAGAGATGAATTGATACTTTTTTTTTTTGGTAGGTATATCGAGTTACTGTGTATCAAGCAGGGGAAAGTGATACAGATTCATTTGAAGAAGATCCTGAAATTTCTGTAGCTGTAAGTATATTTGTTCTTTTTTTAAGGGATAAAAAATACTAAGGTCAAAATTGGAAAAAAAAAGTGTTTAATCTACTTCTTGAAAAGAGGTGATTTTTATAAAATAGACTTTTAGTCTTGTACCAACAGCTCATACCTGCTCAGGAGACAGATCTGAGGATTTCAGTTTGAAGCTTAACACTGAGCAAAAAAATGAAAGACTAGAGGTGTGGCTCAAATGGTAGTGTTAGCCAGTAAAAGCTGAATGTGAGGGCTGGGAAGGTGGCTTAGTGGTAGAGTACTTGCCTTGCATGCATGAGGCCCTGGGTTCGATTCCTCAGCACCACATAAGCAAAAAGAAAAAAGCCGGAAGTGGCGCTGTGGCTCAAGTGGTAGAGCACTAGCCTTGTAGCTGAAGAGCTGAGGGACAGCGCCCAGGCCCACGACCGGACCCCCACGGCCCCCCCCCCCCCCAAAATGTAAAAATAAAGTCTCATTTATTTATTTTTTTAAAGCTGAATGTGAGATGCAAGTTCCTGAGTCTTTAAACTTCTTTTTGTCAAGCCATAGGGTTGAACTCAGGGCCTGGGCTATGTTTCTGAGCTTTTTTTGTCACGGCTAGTGCTTTTATCACTTTGAGCTACAATTCTACTTCTAGTTTTCTAGTGGTTAATTGGAGATAAGAATCTCACAGACTTTCCTGGTGGCTTCAAACTGGGATCCTCAGATCTTAGCCTCCTGGGTAACTAAGATTGTAGGGGTGAGCCCAGCAGGACCTGACTTAAACTTTTTTTTTGGTACAGGGAATTGAGCCCAGAGTGTTTTACCTACTAGGCAATCACTACTGAACTACATCCTAGCCCCCTGAGTTTTTAAAATACTTTTCACTTTAAATATTTTATTTATCGGGGCTGGGAAGGTGGCTCAGTGGTAGAGCGATTGCCTTGCATGCATGAGGCCCTGGGTTTGATTCCTCAGCACCACATAAGCAAAAAGAAAAAAGCCGGAAGTGGTGCTGTGGCTCAAGTGGTAGAACGCTAGCTAGCCTTGAACTGAAGAGCGAGGGACAGTGCCCAGGCCCAGAGTTCAGGCCCCACGACCGAACCCCCCTCCCCCCCCAAAAAAATATATTTTATTTATTGTGGTGGAATATGTTGCTACTTGTTTTCTGTTGGGAATTCAAACTCTAGTGTTTTGAATTATTTGAGAGCTCCATTGCAAGATTTTATCTTTGGATTTTAGAGTTAGTAGAAACCACCTTTGACAACTTCAAAGAAGCAGTATGGGAGAATGTTTTTCACCCTTAATGCTACTATGTTATGTCATTGGTAGTCTAAAGATGATTATTAATAGTGTAATGGGAAGTACCTCATAGCAAGTTTTATATATATATATATAGTGTCCTCTGGCAAGGAGATAGGGATATGTTCTGTAAATAGGTGGGGATGTAGGGGAGTTTGTCATCCTTAATTGCATTCTAGAAAGAAATTAACATAATGGTTAGAATCAATGGAAAGAGAATACAGGAAGGAATAGACAAGTACAGGGCATATAGAGGTGTGGCCACCAGGCTTGTAGTTTTAGATAGAAGTGACTGCTGAAAATAATTGTTTTGGTATTTCCCTTGATTTAAGAATATCTAGCCACTGCTGGATTAGGGAGTATTTCCTAGGAGACAGATTTCATCTAAATTGATTGGGAAAAATCTGTACTCAGTGCCTAGGAATGAGCCTTTAAAGGAAGGGTGCAGGCCTTAAAGTACAGGGGAAAAGATCCTACAGGACTTGTTTCACCTAAATGAATCAGCTAACATCTCTGCTATCACACAAAACTTTTATAAATACATGGTTAATATTACAATAAAACCATTTTAGTTTCTTTTTTTGTTTGTTTGTTGGGAGGCTTGAACTCTAGGCCTGGAGAATGTCCCTCAGCTCTTCAGCACTACCACTTGAGCCACAGTGCCATTTCCACAGTAAAAACCATTTTAGTTGTAGGGTTTTCCAGCATGGAAAGTACTTTGAAATTCTTACAATCACACACTTGAGGAGATACTGGTGACTTCTCCCAAACTCCTACTTCTAGTGTCATCTTTTGTGTGTTCCCCCACCCCTCCTTTGGCAATTTACCACAGTACGTATAGTCAGTGTGATACCCATTATTTCACATTTTTTCTGAATATATGTGGGTTTAGGAAGTAAAACTACCTAAAGTCTACTCTTTAAAAGTAGCCAGTACATAGTATTAACTGTAGTTCTCATGTTGTTTTTATTGACTATTTCATGTAAAAAATGTAATACTACCAGCTCCTGGTGGCTCAAGCCTGTATTCCTAGCTACTCCTAGCGGCTGAGATTGTGGTTTGAAGCCAGTCCAGGCAAAAAAGTTTGAGACTCTTCAATTAACCACCAAAAAAGCTGGAAGTGGAGAAGAGGCTCAAGTGGTAAGAGTGCTAGCCTTGAGAGAAAAAGCTCAGTTCCAAGGCCCTGAGTTCACATCCCAGGACATGCATCAAAAAACAAAACAAGGGCTGGGAAGGTGGCTCAGTGGTAGAGCGCTTGCCTTGCATGCATGAGGCCCTGGGTTCGATTCCTCAGCACCACATAAGCAAAAAGAAAAAAGCCAGAAGTGGCGCTGTGGCTCAAGTGGTAGAGCGCTAGCCTTGAGCTGAAGAGCTGAGGGACAGCGCCCAGGCCCAGAGTTCAGGCCCCACAACCAGACCCAAAAAAGAAAACAAAACAAGAAAATTAAACATGAAATGCTGAAAATTAAACCATGTGATAGTCTTTACTTTTGACATATTGAAGTTGCTAACCTTGTTATATAAGTAGCTGAAGAGTTAGAGAAATTAAATCTATTTTATTTCATTGAAGGACTATTGGAAGTGTACTTCGTGCAATGAAATGAATCCTCCCCTTCCATCACATTGCAACAGATGTTGGGCCCTTCGTGAGAATTGGCTTCCAGAAGATAAAGGGAAAGATAAAAAGGAACTCTCTGAGAAAGCCAAACTAGAAAATTCAGCTCAGGTAGAAGAGGGCTTAGATGTGCCTGATGGTAAAAAAATAATGGTGAGTGATTCTAAAGAGTCATGTGTTGAGGAAAATGATGATGAACTCATGCAAGCTTGCCAATCACAAGAAAGTGAGGACTATTCTCAACCATCAACTTCGAACACCATTATCAGTAGTAGCCAAGAAGATGTCAAAGACTCTGAGAAGGAAGAAACACAAGATGAAGAAAGTATGAAATCTAGCTTTTCTCTCAATGCCATTGAACCATGTGTAATTTGCCAAGGTCGACCTAAAAACGGATGTATTGTTCATGGTAAAACAGGACATCTTATGTCATGCTTCACATGTGCAAAGAAGTTAAAGAAAAGGAATAAGCCCTGCCCAGTATGTAGACAACCAATTCAAATGATTGTACTAACTTATTTCAGCTAGTTGATCCGTTCCTCAAAGTGGAATTATATATTGCTAACTATATAACCCTAAAAATGTATAAACAGATTTTTTATTTTAATCTACATATTCAAAACAAAGTATATTGGTCCACATAAATTTCTTTGTAGTGTAATTTGCCTATTTTGGGAGGAGGAAGAGTGAATATTCCTTTCAAAAAGGACGATTTTCCTTTTATGTTATATCTTTGAATTTCATTATTATATACAGTGGCTATGTAACTCATGGGGTTTTTTTTGGGGGGGGGGGGCGGTCCAGTCGTGGGGCCTGAACTCTGGGCCTGGGCGCTGTCCCTCAGCTCTTCAGCTCAAGGCTAGCGCTCTGCCATGTGAGCCACAGCGCCACTTCTGGCTTTTTTCTTTTTGCTTATGTGGTGCTGAGGAATCGAACCCAGGACCTCAGTCATGCAAGGCAAGTGCTCTACCACTGAGCCACCTTCCCAGTCCGTGTAACTCATGTTTTACATTTTTCTCTTATAAGACAATTTTCTGTTACATGTATCTGAATTTTTAAAACTTCAAGGTTTCTTTCTCCCCTCCCCCCTTTTGGTGCTGAGGATTGAACCCAGGACCTTGTGCACTTGTGCATACTAGGCAAGCACTTTACTACTTCCACTATAAGACAGGGTCTCATTGCTTCCTTTGCCTGGCACCATCCTCCTACCTCTACCTCTTAGTAGTTGGGATTACAGATGTATACCAACCGGGCCAGGACACATGAACATACTTTTCATGTAAAAAAGAAAAAGTATGTATAATAATGTAATATTAAAATTTTAGGTACTCTTATTAAAGTCTCCAGTCCTTAAGCTCTCTATTTAGAAGTTGTTATATTTGGTGCTATACAAGTAAAACATCTTATTTTTCAGGCTTTTTACTATAGTATGGGATGCAGTAATGTTGTCAGTTGAGGATAGCCATTAGCCCTAAATTTTTTTTTTTTTTTTAATAGTGCTAGCCCTGAGGCTTGAACTCAGCCTGGGTAGTGTCTCTGAACTGTTTTTGCTCAAGGCTAGCACTTGAGCCATAGACCCATAGACCCAATTCTAGCTTTTTGGTGGTTAATTGGAGATAAGAATCTCTTGGACTTTTCCTGTCTGGCTGACTTTGGACTGCTGTTGGCAGATTCTCAGCCTCCTGAGTAGCATTACAGGTAATAAGCCACCTACTCCTGGCTAAAACTACCCCCAGTAACGGGGCTTGAACTCAGGGCCTGGCATTGTCCCTGAGCTGCTTTTGCTAGTGCTCTACCACTAGAGCAACAGCACCACTTCTGGCTTTTTATGTTTATGTTGTACTGAGTAATCAAACCCTGGGGCTTTATGCATGGTTGGCAAGCACTCTACCACTGAACCACATGCCCAGCCCCTGGCTAAAACTTTAAGGCTCCCTTTTTGAAGTGTGGAATTTTCCTGGGATATTCTTGGGCTCAGTTGTTTTGGATGGTTGTCGAGATTTTAGATCTGTACTTTTATCCAGTTTCGGAAACCAGTAAATTGAGAAGGATTATTTCAGAAATTTGATAAACAGAACTATTCATTTAAAAACTAGCTGGAAAGGTGGTAGTTTGTTTGTTTTTTTATTTTTTTGGGGTCCGGTCATGGGGCCTGAACTCTGGGCCTGGGCGCTGTCCCTCAGCTCTTCAGCTCAAGGCTAGCACTCTACCACTTGAGCAACAGCACCACTTCCGGCTTTTTTCTTTTTGCTTATGTGGTGCTGAGGAATCAAACCCAGGGCCTCTGGCGTGCAAGGCATGCGCTCTACCACTGAGCCACCTTCCCAGCCCCGAAAGGTGGTAGTTTGTCCACCACCTTTAAGAAAGAATTAGAGCATGACATTGTAAAATGGTCTTTCAGACCATATATATTGACTTTTTGATTTACCATAAGTATCTTCAGCAGAATAGTGAAAAATAATCACCTTCACCTTAAGGTTCCAGTACTCTTCTCCTGTGTCTGACAGTTTTATATACATTCCTCAATTAGACCTATAAGTTTAGAAGAGATCCAAGGAATAACTTTGCATATCCTGTTTCTAGTAGTCAATTGTTAGAATGAATAAAAAAAGCATCTCTCTTCCCCAACTCATCCATCTATAGCATATCTTAAATAGGAAACAAACAGCCAATGGGATCAGTACTTTAGTAGTCCTGAAGTAAAGGAGAGAGAGCTTTAATAATTTGAGACTTAGTACTTTATACTTTAGGAAGAAAAGAGGATTAATAAGTTCATCCTTCTAGGAAAGTTCGTAGACCATAACTGATGCAAATTAAAGTGCCTGCCATGAATGCTGTTGACTCAGCTTTCAACTGAACACATGGTGTTTCATTTTACATGCTTATAGTTGGCTAATCTTGTTTGTCTAAATTTTTAGGTTTAGTATATGACTTATTTATTTATTTGCAAATAAATGATGAAGAACTGTTGCAAGAATGTGACTATTGGCTCTTATGAAGTTGTGGGTTTTTCAATAATACTCTTTGTGTAATCAAAGACAAGTTTGAATGTTTTTCTTGGAGTGAATTTGCCTTTCTACTTTAGAAAATACATGCTTGAAGGGCTGGGAAGGTGGCTCAGTGGTAGAGTGCTTGCCTCGTATGCATGAGGCCCTGGGTTCAATTCTTCAACTCCACATAAGCAGGAAAAGCCACTGTGGTTCAAGTGGTAGAGGACTAGCTTTGAGCTGAAGAGCTGAGGGACAGGGCCCAGGCCCCGAGTTCAGGCCCCATGACCAACCAAAAAAAAAAGAAAGAAAATACATGTTTGATATATTTTGGAGTTTTTTGTTTTTTGTTTTTTTTTTTTGGTTGGTCATGGGGCTTGAACTCTGGGTCTGGGAGTTATCCCTGAGCTCTTCAGTTCAAGAGGAGTGCTCTACCATTTGAGCCGAAGTGTCACTTCTGGTTTTCTGGTGGTTAATTGGAGATAAGAGTCTCCTGGACTTTTCTACCTGGACTGGCTTTGAATCATGATCTTCGGATCTCAGCCTCCTGAGTAGCTATGATTACAGACATGATCCACCAGCACCTGGCTGTTTTGGAGCTTTAGAGACATTGATTCAGAGCAGGTTGATGTTGTAGAGAGTGGGGACTGGGCATGCTATTGGCTCGATATGTTACTCACTTGGACATCAAGTGGCAAGCTGACTGAAGTAGCTTTTTCATAAGAGATAGTGTGTATGGTCTGGCCCTATTGTAATTGCCTGTTTCCTTCTCTATTCATCTTCTAAATTAAATTCTGTGAAGCCTGGATCTTCTGGGTTATGATGTGGGTATGTAGGTGCTCAGTAAGAATATTAAGTCAAAGCTGGGGAGCTGAGTGTGAAATTGGCTTTAAAAGAACATAGGGATCTCAGGTCCAAAAGCCAGAGAGGATTAATTCCTAGCATCGTTTAGCTTAGATTTTCTCTCTTTCTTTTTTTTTTTTTTTTGCCTGTCCTGGGGCTTGAACTTATGGCCTGGGCATTGCTCCCTGAGCTTCTCTTGCTCAGGACTAACACTCTACCACTTGAGCCATAGTACTACTTCTGGCCTTTTCTGTTTATGTGGTACTGAGGAATACAACCCAGGGCTCCATGCATGCCAGGCAAGGACTGTATCACTAAGCCATATTCCTAGCCCTTAGCTTAGATTTTCTTAAGTTAAAATAAGCATTTCAAAGATAGTTTAGTGTGTAGGTATACAGACTCATAATAGTAAACATAAATTGCCATGGCATTGTACTATAAAAAAGATAATAGTTTTACTTTATGGTTGGATTCTGACTTGTATTTTTATATTTACAAAAAATTTTGGGGGCTGGGAAGGTAGCTCAGCGGTAGAGTTCATGCCTTGCAAGCATGAGGCCCTGGGTTCGATTCCTCAGCACCACATAAACAGAAAAAGCCGGAAGTGGCGCTGTGGCTCCAGTGGTAGAGCACTAGCCTTGAGCTGAAGAGCTGAGGGACAGCGCCCAGACCCAGAGTTCAGGCCCCATGACCGGCAAAAAAAAAAAAAAAAAATTTCCCAATCCTGGGGCTTTGAACTCTGGGCCTGGGTACTCTCCCTCAGCAGCTTTTGCTCAAGGCATTTGAGCTATAGCAACACTTCCAGCTTTTTCTGAGTAGTTTATTGGAGATAAAAGTCTCACAGACTTTATACTGCTGGCTGGTTTTGAACTGCAGTCTCAGAGATCTCAGCCTCCTGAGTAACAAGGATTACAGGTGTAAGCCACTGGCACCTGGAAAAATTCTTTTTTTAAAATATCAGAGTTAAATTTTAGTGTTTTGGTTTTGTTTACAACTTTCTATGTTTACCAACTATTATTAATTGTATAGGATTATACAGTTCATTGCCTTTTTTTTTTTTTTTTCCATTTGTGCTAGGGATTAAACCTAGGGCCTCGTGTTAAGCATCCATTTTACTACTGAAATGGGCTACCAGGCTTGCTTCAGTGCATTTTATTCCCATTCTTTAAACTTATCTTGGCAAGGGAAAGAAACAGTATTCACTATGTGAATAGTCTTTATTGAGAATAAAATACTCTAAATTTATTAAACCCAGAGGTAGTCATGTCCCCTTCCAAATAAACTTTACAGTGTTTTTACATTTAATCAGTTCTTAATTATAGTATAAAAGGAAGTCACCGTGAAAGCTTATAAAATCAGTTATGAAATCTATAAAGGCTATGGAGTTATTAGTAGGCTAAATATAAAAATCGTTGTTTGCAGTAATGCTTCTCTTTTAGTAAGTAGGAACTCAGCACACTTTCTAATCTGGCCATTATTTCCTTCCCATCCACCTAGTCATGAAGAAGATATACATGATTGCTCATAAAATAAATATCAATTGTATTGCTACATAGACTAAGAAATGTCTCAATAGAGAACTTACATTGTTGGAATTAAGACAATATGCTATGCTTATTTTTCTAGGAAAATATAGTTGCAGTCCAGCACCAGTTTATACTTTCTAAACATAGGCTAGCTTAACACCATTTTTAGATAGATTACAAATGTAAATTTCACTGGGGGGGAAGAAAACATTCTTTCAGAAGTATTGAAAGGAGGCTTTGAACATTTATGACACTCTTGTGATTAAGCACCAAAATCAACACTGACACTTTTGTCCTCAGGACTTAACATTCCTGTAAAATACATTTCTCTATGATAGATGTCGTTTACATTTAGATTCAGGTTTATGACCATTGTTTCCCCATTATTTAGTCATGATCAAATTTGATCAAGCACCCAAGAAAGCTAATGTCTCTTCATGAAAGCTTTGAATATCACATGATTATTTTCACTGACAAATGTTGAGGTTTGCAAGTCAGCTTCATTTTTATGTAAGGCCAAGATTCGGTTTATAATGTCTGTCCCACTGCCTTCAAAGTATCCACTTGAGTATGAGTTTTCCTTCCATCTAGATAAGCACTAAAAGCACCAACATGTGATTCCTACTAGCTTCTAGTAATCAATCACAGACAGCCACGATCTTCATTTTACAGCTAAGGAAACTGCATGTGTGGTGGACTTGAATCAAGGGCTCCTACATTCTAGTTTTCATTTTACTCCTACATTTTTCTCCTTGAAAGCTTTTTAATCTTGTTGGTTTCTCTAGAAAAGAATTACACCTGAACTTGGAGCCTGAGAAATATAACCACCAAAGAAGGCCAAGAATAGTGAAAGGTGTTAGGGAGGTTGGTGGCCTGTTCTGACCACAGAATTCCATAGTTGTGTTTTGTCTATTTGGGAAAAGGGTGAGAGTCTTGGCTCATAAATTGATAAGCATACACCACCGCTAAGCTCCATTCCTAATCCTGATGCCTTCAAATGATTGGTTTTAAATGATTTTGATACAAACTTTGGGTTATAAACCAGTTTAGTTCATGTCCCTTTAAAACTGCTCTTTCAGAAAAGTTAGAATCCTTAGCTGAAAAATTGTGCAGGGCTTGGTGGAAAATTAAGTATAGACTAAACACTTTAATATGTAAAAATTAAATTTTGCTTTTACTTTCAATTATATGTTACTGCTTAAATAAAAGTGACCAAGATATTTAGGTCATTACTAGATTTTACAAGTTTGGTTAGAAACTATACCATTTATAATAACATGTATGGATTTTGTGCAGCTAGAATAAGCTTGGCACCTAAATGTGTGCACCTAAGTCTATATCTCAGTCCTTCACCGGGTTCCAAGCCCAGTGTAGTTTCATCTTCCATTGCTGTAGAATATAAGAACAAAGGCAACTCATAGTACTTTGAAACACACATTACTTACTCAGCCCCCTCCCCATTTGATCTCCCCCCTTTTTTTTGGTCAGTTGTGGAGCTTGAACTCCGCCTGGGCACTGTCCCTCAGCTCTTCAGCTCAAGGTGAGCACTCTACCACTTGAGCCACAGTGCCATTTCTGGTTTTCTGGTGGTTACTTGGAGATAAGAGTCTTATGGACTTTCCTGCCCGGGTTGGCTTTGAACTATGATCCTCAGATGTCAGCCTCCTCAGTTGCTAGAATTACAGACATGAGCCACTGGTGCCCATCTTTCCCCTTTAATTCTTACATAAAATGCATTAACACAGGTAAAATCCTAGTAGAAAATGGCTGCTTGAAAGTGAGCACTTGAAGTAAAAATGTTGCTTTCTGATTTTTTTTTAAAGCAAGTAAGTAACAATATTTCCTTTCTGCAAACTTTTTGTGAAGTGCAAGTGAAAACACTATATTTAGCGTTTTTTCTTTCTACATAACATTCAAACACTTGTCAGTTGTTACTAGTGAGCTGGAGATTGCTTCATAAAATGATCCAAAGCCCTACTGTTGCCTGAAGTGACTAGGAGCAGCAGGTTTCTGGAACACTTTTCCATTCAGTATGTACTTTTAGGCTGTGAGGATATAAAAATGAATTTTTCACACAAGTAGACCATACCTCAAAGAGCTTGTCTACTAAGAAAGCCCATGTGAAGTAGATCATACTATAGTGTTGTAAATTCAGTAGTCAAGATCAAGTTTGATTTGAGGGAGCAAAGAGATATGGACTCAAACTCCAGATTTCCTGGAAAGGAATGGAATGGAATTGCTTGTGATGATGATCAGCAAAGTCTTCTCCCCACTTTCCCCCTCTTCCCCCCAACTCCTGAATTTGAACTAATGCCTTTATGCTTGCTAGGCAGGCACTTTACCACTTCAGCCATGCCTCTGCCTCCAACTTGAATGAAGGTATTTGTTGTTGTTGTTCATGAGGCCTGAACTCTGGGTGTGGGTGCTGTCCCTCAGCTCTTCAGCTCAAGGCTAGCGCTCTACCACTTGAGCCACAGTGCCATTTCTGGCTTTTTCTGCTTATGTGGTGCTGAGGAATCGAGCCCAGGGCCTCATGCATTCGAGGCAAGCACTCTATCACTGAGCCACCTTCCCAGTCCCTGAATGCAGTTTTAAAGGAGGACCAGAAAACAAATGTGAATCAGAATGTCTTTCCAGACCCAAACAAATAACATGCTAAGTGTTTAGGAAACAAAGCAGCTGATGTGGGTTTTCTGCCAGTACTAGGACTTGAACTCAGGGCCTTTTGCTCTTAACTTGGCTTTTTCTTGCTCAAAGATGGTGCTTTATGGCTTTTTGCTGGTTAATTGGAGATGAATCTCTTGGATTTGTCTGCTCCAGTTGGCTTTGAACCTCCATCCTCACATCTCAGCTTCCTAAGTCGCTAGGATTACTGGTGAGAGCCATCAGCACTTGGCTAGAATTAGCCAATATTTATACCATTTCTTAATGAACCTATCAACATATGGCATGAAGAATAAAGAGGAAGACTCAGGATCACTCAGATTTCTAGAGTGGTTGTACCAATAATTGAGATTAAAAAATACAGTAGGGGAAAACTATTCAATGGTCAATGTAGAGTGACGTACCTATGGGTCATATCCAGGTATGTATGTACAGTGGGCAACTGGACATAAATCTGAGGCTTAAAAGAAGGTGGAGTTGCACATTAGGATGTCCTCAGAAACTGGCATCCAGCTGCAGAAAGGCAGGGACACTGGCTCTGGAGGGAGAAAGACTCAACCAATGTGCTGTAGATAACTTGAGGTGCTGTAGATAACTTTACCATCCTATAATTTCTTGGGCCACTGAGACATGTTTTCTCCTTAGGACATTAGCAAAGCTAGATATTCTGTCTTGTGATAATTTCTTCTTTTGTGGACAACTAGTTATAGCATTATTCACAAATAGCAATTGGCAAAGTCATATGCAGTAAGTGGTCAATAAATGTCCATCTCTTGTTTGTATTCATCTTGATTTTCATATATAAAATTGGCTCCATTTTTTTTCTTGCAGGAACTTCTGTTTTGCTTCTCAAATTCAACAATTTCTAAGACTACTTCAACATTAAATTTAAATGGGAAATACTTGATAGTTTTCCATTCTAAAGTGAATCATCAGTAGTACCCTACACATTGGGAACATCCATTTCTCTTTTTAGGAAAGACTGGAGTTTCTCCAGTTGAGGTACCACTAAAGGGAGTTTAGCATTGCTGTGACCTGGTGTGACTAATCCCTGATTCCAGGTGATGATGGAGGTTGAGCTTCACATTTTACTTGAAAAATATGCGCAAAAGAGTCAGTGAAAATAAGAACAAACTAGGCTTTGTTGCAGCTGAGTGGCTTGGCATTGTTTTGTATAGAGGAATCATCGGGCATGAAGGATTTGATACTAGGATAGAATCCAGTTTCCTTTCGGATGGAAACAGAAAGTCTTTTTTGAGAGCACTAAAGTCCTGGGATTTTTCTGGAATAACCATCTTTGTGAGGTGTGAGTCATGTCCAGGGACTGTAACCTGAGAGGGTGGGGGGTGAGGGAAGAAACAAGAAACAATTGTATGAGTGACTTCAGATGTTTTGTAGTGCCAATACTGAAAACATTGATACCCACCACTAAAATACAGCCTTTGTACAATGCATGAAACAATCTGCCAGGCCTCATGACCTGGTAACTGAGGAGCTATCCAAGGCCTGTGGATGCACTCAGTTGTTAATGCTGTTGCCAAGAATTACAGGATGAAATAAAGACATATGGGTAACTTATCTACTGATGCAAGTCAGGAGAAAGCAGGAAGTGGTAAGCTGATTCTGCTGTCATTTTCGTGGAGGGCAAAAGTGAACAGTTATTGTCCCAAGTCTATACTTAAGATCTTCATTGGAAATCACAATTATAACTTTTCCCAATTCCCATTTTCCTTGCTGATCTAAGTATATAAATCTTTCTTTTTTGAGAAGTGCTGGTTTAGTTCGTTAGTCCCCCATCCCCCTTTTGTTTATTTTGCCAGTCTTAGGCTTGAACTCAGGGCTTGGCATTGTCCCTCAGCTTCTTTGTGCTCAAGGCTTGTGCTCTACCGCTTGAGACACAGCACCACTTCTGGCCTTTTTGAGTAGTTTATTGGAGTTAAAAGTCTTATGGGGACTTTTCTGCCCTGGATGACTTCAAATCTTGATCTTTAGGTCTCAGCCTTGTTGGATTATAGGAGTGAGCCACTAGTGCTTGGCTCTTTATAACATATTTTTGATTGGACTGTTTTTGTTAATTTTTAGTGCTAAGCTTTTTAGAGTTCTTATATAATTATGGAAATAAATTCCTTGTCAAATCAATATTTTTCAGATATTTTCCCCATACTATAGATTTTCTCTTAATTCTGTTTCCTTTGCTACACGGAAGTTTCTCAGTTTGATATAATCCCATTTTTCTATTTGTATTTTGTCTAATACTTGTCTTTTTTTACAGTTTGAATGCTTTTTATTTCTTTTTCTAATTGCTCCTGTTAAAACTTCCAGTACTACATTAAGTAAGAGTGATAGAAATCAACATGTTTGCCTTGTCTATGATATTAGAAGAAATGCTATCATCTTTTTGTTATTCATGATGATTTTTCAGTATAACTACTATTTTCCTTCTACTCCTAGTTTGTTTTTTCTTTTCTTTTTCCTTTTTTTTTTCCAGTCCTAGGGCTTGAACTCAGCTTTTTTTGTTTAAGGCTAGCATTCTACCACTTGAGCCACCGCACCATTTCTGGCCTTTGCTGTTTATGTGGTACTGAGGAATCATGCTATGCAAGCACTCTACCACCATTAAGCCACATTCTCAGCCCTATATTTTTTTAATCATGAAGAGACAATGAATCCTATCAAATTCTTTTTATGCAGCTGTTGAAACAATCCTAGTTTTTGTCCTTCATTCTGTTGATATGTTGTGTCATATGTATTGATTTGTGTGTCAAACCATCCTTGCATTCCTGAGAGAAATCTCACTTGATCCTGGTGTATTATCTTTTGCTATACTGTTCAATTCAATTTGCTACAATTTCATCAAGAACTTTTGTATTTCCCTCTGTGTCATCGGGGATATGGTTCTGTAGTTTTCTTTCCTTGGTATCAGGGTAATGCTGGCCTCTTATAATAGTTTAGCAGAGTCTTCCATTTCAAAATTTTGGACTAGTGTAAGTAAACAACAAAATCAGTTCTTTAAATGTTTAATAGAATTTCACAGTGAGGTAGTAAAATTGGAGGGTTTTTTTGGTGTGTGCTGCTCCTAGGTCTTGAACTCAGGGTCTACTGGCAGTCTATCATTTGGGCTACACCTCCACTTCCAGTTTTTTTGGTGGTTAACTGAAGATTACAGGCATGAACTACTGGTGCCCAGCAGATATGTTTTAATTATTGCTTCAACCTCTTATCACTGGTCTTTAAAGGTGCTGGGATCCATGGCACTATAACTGTGAACTCAATGTTTTGGAAGCCAGAGGGGGATCTTCTTTAGGTATCATGAGGAAACTGCAGTTGGTACTAGCATATAGCACCCTTAGCCACTATTGGGTAGCTGTGGGACTCAGATCATACCTTTTCCTGGATCTGTGAAATAAGGAAAAATGATCCCAGTGATGTGGTCCAAGGTGTGTGGGCTACGAAGATGTTCCTAACTCTTCTGGCATATGAGCAGATAGTGTTTGGGCTGTGGCACTGGTACCCCCATGCTTGGAGGTGTGCGTAGGCAATGGAGGAAGACATTTTCTTGGACCCATAGGTTGAGAACAGGAGGTAGTGGAACTTATGGCTTTGTATCTTTAGTCCTAGAGCTGCAGGATGTAGGTGGGTATGTCTCTAAATCATGTAGTGTAAATTGGTGGGGACATGCTTTGTGACATTAATAATTTCAGTCCTGGAGCTAAAAAAATGTGGAAGGGCATTTCCCATGGTCCCCAAGTACAAGTTAAAGTGAAAGCCAAGGGTTTTTGTACACAGAGCTGTGGTCCCACAGTCATGGGAAGGGGACCAGGTGAGTGCAGGTGATGGGGGGAGTGGAGCCAGTGGCTGCATTCCTAGAGCTAGACTTGGACACTTCCAAGCTGGGACAGGTGTGGGTGAATCTGGGACGTTGCAACATTGTTTACAAGTCTAAGGTTAGGAACTTGTGGGTATACAGCTGTTTGGTCTTGAAGCTACAGGATTCAGAGAGCTGTCTGCTGCCCTGTGAAGTGACATGAGCCCAAATTTCCTGACAGGGTCAAGGTTAGGCTCCCAGCTCCTTAAGTCAAGATGGTGACTAGCAATAGCTGTTGTAGTAGTATGAGTTCTGAGAGTTGAGGGTAGTCCAAAGTGAGAGGAGTCACTTTTAGACTAGCCAGCTTTCCAGACTGGGTTTAAAGCTGGTAAGTACCAGGGGATTCTCCTGAATGTTTAGAAGTGTCAGTCTACTGCTATACTTTGGGGTCTCTTCCCACTGACCTTATAGAGCAGTTTCATTCCAAGATTGAAGGGCCAAATGCTGTTTTCTTTTTTCTAGATTGCCTTTCTAACTATCTATGCTGCTAGGGCTCCTGTCACTTTGCTGGCTTTCAGAGTTCTTTCTTATCACTGTCCTTGAAATATAATTTCTCCTTTTCTGCCCTGACTTCTCTCTGGCAGTCACACACAACCACATGGACTCCCTTCTAATCTTATTATTAATGAGGCTTCTTTATCATAAAAGACACCATACAAAATAGGACTTGGCTTCAATGAAAACATTGTCAGGAACATTTTCTTTCTAGTTTGTTCCTATCATTCCTACCTCTGCTGCCCCTCTACCCCTTCCAGTTGCAGGCCTGAGGCTGTTTTTGAATTTTCCAGGATTACTTTAGATTTCTCCTGGGTGAGTATTGTAAGATCTGTAATGTTATTAACAATTAGGATTGCATACTTACATTTATTGTATAGGAACCAGGCAAGAGAAGTAGATAATATTCTCCAAATTTGTTGGTTCTAAATGGACAGATATGTTTTCTGTCTTGGACTTCCACAATTACATTGGGTAATGGGTTTCTATTCTGATCAAAAACTTGTCCTTTTATGCCTATAAATACAAAAGAAAAACTGAATATAAACATCACATTTTGTAGCATAGGAAAGTATTTTTCCTGTAACAATTTAAGGAAAGTATGCTTAATATTTATTAGCTATTTTGAGTTAATAATGTATACAGAAGGGAAGGTATTTTTGATCTCTACATTATAGTCAAGCTGCTAGTCTGACTTATAGCTTTATATAGGTTTGTTGGTTTTTTCTGTGCATTGTACATTTTATCAAAATAAACACACACAGATGACCATCTAAGTTCATTCCTATCATCTCCAAGTTGTTTGTTCAAGCATTAATGCATACTGTAACATGCCATTGGTAGACTTCATAAAACCCTGAACAAAAAAAATGCCAGTACATTACTTTATAAGATACTTACTGTACACAGAACCTGATGGTTTTGTCTTACAGTCAGGTGAACTATGGGGAAGCTACAATCAAAGGTTGCTGGAAGCATGGAATTGACTGATGGGAGACTTAATGGTTCTAAGACAATAGTTAGGAGCATTTAGTGGGCTCCAGGCTCTATGCTGAGTGCTTAAGTTGTATTTTCTCTCAGAATCTTCACATCAGCACTGTCAGACAATGTTGTCTTAATGTTGGCCTGGAGTATATAGCTCAATTGTTGAGTGCTTGCCTACTATGCCCAAAGTCCTGGGTGTGATCTCAAGTACCACAACAAACATCCCTCAGCTGACTAGGCTGAGGGCCAGACAGTTGTGGCTCCAGCTTTTAAACACATCAGGTGACCAAACAGCATGGGAACATCCTAGCCACTGGTCCTCTAGTCCAGACCTTCCATGAAAACAGAGGCAGACAAGACAGTCACAGACTTCGAGATGTGTCAAAGTCTCAGACTCAGAAGCCTTTTAGTGAGTGCTGAAGGCAACACAGCTTGACCAATTTTAGTAATTTTCTTAACCTACAGGAATCTCAACAAGGAGGTGCTTGTTCCCATTATCTATAAGTAAAAATACTCTGGTATCAAGGGAGAAAGAAGATTTCTATAAGTAATAACTACATGCACCACCAGTATTTTGAAACATGATTTCATTATTAAACTAAAAAAATTGTCTCTGTCTTCAACCACAAGGGGGCAGGGTGGATGTGTGTTTGTAAATACTGGGTTGTTCCCATCAGATTATAGGGACAGGAAGGTAGATAAATATTCTTCAAGGTGGGTGCCCCATGGCTCATGCATGGAATCCTAACTTTTCAGGAGACTGAAATCTGAGGAACATGGTTTGATGTCAGCCCGGGCAGGAAAGTACTCATCTATGATTAAACACCAGAAAACTGGAAGTAGCACTGTGGCTCAAAGTGGTAGAGTGCTAACCTTGAGCAGAAAAAGCTCAGAGATAGTACCTAGACCTTAAGTTCAAGCTCTATGACAAACAAAATAAATTACATATATATATATATGTGTATATATATATATATATGCTTCATATTCCTCATACAATGGAATGTTAAATGGACTTTTTTTTTATGTGTGTGCCAGTACTGAGGCATGAACTCATGTCCTGTCCCCTAGCATTTGTGCTCAAGGTTAGCATTCTACCACTTGGTGGGAGCCACAGCTCTACTTTTGGCATTTTGGCGGTTAATTGGAGGTAAGAATCTCACTGACTTTACTGCCCAAGCTGGATTTGAACCACTACATTCAGTCTCCTGAGTAGTTAAGATTATAGGCATGAGCCCACTGGTACCTGGCTAAGTGAAATTTTAAGCCCTCAAAATTAATAATAGCAGCTCTTATGCTGCAAGCTCTGTGTTATTTGCCATTTTACCAAGATCTTTCAGTGGCAACATTCTGCCAGCACTATACTTTGAAGGCCACCCTCCCTCTGCAGAGCTTTGTGATTCCTGCTCAGTTACATTCTCCTGCTGAGACTGATAAAGGGATTTCAGAAAAGAATTCACCGGGTAACACACTGAAGAATGAATGTGGGAAGAAGTCTAAGAGAAAGGTTAAATTAATCCATGGCTCATGAAGAAAAAGCCAGAGGACCCAGAAACAACAGAGGACCGAGAACAAAGTTTGATATCACAATGAAGAGAGAAACATATATGTGCTGCAGCCAATGGGCCTGCCCCATGCTATATTTTGTGTTTGGCAAGGAATCAGTAAAAATCTTACAGACCTAGGTGCACTTGTTTTATATATTCAATTAACGAGGCTTTGTTATCATTCCAAAAGTACGGAAGCTTCTCCTCACGAGGATATTTACAGCATGACAGCTCCAAGGTAATTTCAAAACACTGGGCCCAGATGTAGTTGTAATCTTGCATTCCACCTAAAAACAAGCAAATTTTGTTTTTATTCAAGTCTAAAATTGGAGTGGTGCCAAGCATCACATACTTTGGGGACAAGTGAATGAGACAGTTACAAGAAAAACTACATGAGAGCATGAATTTGACAGATTAACATGGTCTTCACATCTCATTACCCAAGGCATACCAGTCACTCCTAAATATTTCCATATGAATATCAGAGATGACTGAAGTTCATTTGTGGTTCACAATTAAATGAGGAGACTGATTGCCATGGTTTATGCCTATAATCCTAAGGATTTAGGAAACATATCAGGAGGATGACTGTTCAAGACCAGCCTAGATAATGTTAGCAAGACCCTTCCCCCAATCTCTGTTATGTGGGAAAGATAAAATAGGAGGCTCACAGTCCATGCCTACTCAAGCAAAAATGTGAGATCCTATGTGAGAAAAGAAAGAGGGGGGGGAGGGAGAGGGAGTAAGAGAGAGAGAGAGAGAGAGAGAGAGAGAGAGAGAGAGACAGAGAAAAGGCTCTGGTAGGCTGAGCATGTCAAAGATTCCAAGTATGTTAAGGATCCCTAGCTAAGTATTTGGGCTTGGAAATGTCAAGCATGGGGAATGGAGAATGAATGTAAAGCTCTGGATAAAGCCAGTCAGGTTTGGCCAGCAGAATCTATAAGTGGGTCAGGAGATTGGCTCTGAACTTCTTAAGCATCTGGCTTTGCTGCTGTTGTTTTTGTTTTTGTTTTGTTTTCTCCTGAGGATACAGAACTCTCAAAAACATAGTTGGGAACAATTTCCAACAGTAACTGTGAGTTTTAGTAAATTTCCTACACATGTGGATCTGTCTTGAAAGTTAACAGTCCGCATGAAGGACAGCTCTGCCCCTGGCTGAAGGGGTCTTTTGCTAGCCATGAAGAGGCAAGGGCAGGGTTTTGCCTTGCTGGAGGCCTTAGCAGGCAGGGGCAGATTATGGACAGCAGAGAGGTTCGAGATGTCATGGTGTCCCGCTGGACCTGAGGCCTGCACTGATTGGTTGTGGTCTACATTTATTTACAGTACCTGGAAAGGCGGCAGTGTGCCCGACACAAAAGTGCAAGATTAGTAGACAGCTTTTGCATCCAGAGTGCCAACTGAGAAGGTACCTTTGGAAGTGGCCTTTGTGCAGAAATGCAAATTCAGGTAGGAAGAGAATGCTTTGCATTCTACTGTCTCTCCTCTTGCCCTTCCTAAGTCCCTCCTAATAATTTTTCAGTTCCTAGACTAATACAAGCCTCACATCCCTTGGATTCTGTTTCTATAATTCCTTCTAGTAAAAAATATCCTTCCTTCCCATATACCCTACATGGCAATTACCCTCTCCCTTACCTGACCATCCTATTCCAAGGGTAGGAAACTGGAGGTCCCTCTTGCTGTTTCTATCTGAGGAGTTCTTTTGTTTAGCCTGTTGAAAAGTAGTTTTTGAAACCATGGTACTTCATGTGATCCCACTTCCTCTGTGAACTGGAAGGTCTGGTGATACTAGCTTTCCACTTTCGCATAACAATAATTACCTGGATCTGAGTATCAGCTGCCTGTCTAGAAGGGACCCAAGTGTTAGATTTCTCCAAGATCTTCTCTACTTCCTACTGGTTTTTGGCTTTATACCTGGATGATATCCTCTATCATTTCTAAACCACTATTCTTACTCTAATCACACTGACACCACTATTATTTATGTGCTTTGTACTTGAAAGTAAGATCTGTGTCTTATTTGTCTTTCTTAGCAGGCAGATTCTGACTAAATGTCTGTGGGGCATTAGCAGGGAGGAATGTATCTGAGCATCTCTCAAACCATGTCACCATCACTATTCCTGGGATATCAGCAGATGAAGACACAAGTGAGGGCCTGTGCTGTGACTAAAGATCTTTGGACAACTTTTGGGTCAAAAATGAATGAGCTTGAACCGTTAAGTAAAAGCAATATGGAGAATGGAGGAAATGAAGAGAGACTCACCTTGGAGTGGATACCAAGCATATCCATTTGTAATTCCATTAGGAAAGTTCATTTTATTCTTACACTGATCTCCTTTCACCATGTTGGGATTTCTTGAAGCGTAGGTGTATGCAAGGTGTTGGAAAACATCATCATCAGGAGTTACGCTTCGGGAGAGCAATGCTCCAGTGGCTATATTTAAAAGTCAGAGAAAGACTTTTTGGTTCACTTTAGAGCAGAATACACACCACCATATTAACAAGTACACTTGCTGTCATTTCCTTAGAAGACAGTTTACCCACTTCCACAAATGCTCCCTCTGCTTTTTCTGTGCTGGTACCTGGGGCTTAAAGTCAGGGTCTTGTGCTATCACTTGGCTTTTTTGCTCAAGGCTTGTGCTCTACCACCTGAGGCACAGCTTCATTTTTGGCTTTTTGGTGGCTATGTGGAGATAAGAATCTTATGGTCTTTTCTACCTATGCTGGCTTTGAAGTGCAATCTTCAGATCTTAGCTTTCTGAGTAGTTAGGATTAGAGTCATGAGCCACTGGTCCCAACTATTCTCTCTCTTTTTTAAATTAAAAAAATTTTTTTATTGTGAAAATACTGTACAGAGGGGTTACAGTTACATGAGCAAGGTAATAAGTACATTTCTTACCAAGCATTGTTGCCTCCTTTGTTTTTCCCCTACCATCCCTGCCCTCCCATCTCTATGACTACCCCCCCCCCTTTTTCTCTTTTTTTTTTTTTATGCTGTTTTTGGGACTTGACCTCAGAGCACATCACTATCCTTAGATTTTTACTCAGTGTTAGCACTCTACCACTTGAGCCACAACTCCAGTTCCAGCTACTTAGTGGAGATAAGAGTCTAATGCCCAGGGGCTGGGAAGGTGTCTCAGTGGTAGAGCGCTTGCCTTGCATGCCTGAGGCCCTGGGTTCGATTCCTCAGCACCACATAAGCAAAAAGAAAAAAAGCCGGAAGTGGCACTGTGGCTCAGGTGGTAGAGCGCTAGCCTTGAGCTGAAGAGCTGAGGGATAGTGCCCAGGCCCAGAGTTCAGGCCCCACGACCGGACCCCCCAAAAAAAACAAAAACAAAGAGTCTAATGCCCAGGCTGGCTTTGAACCATGATCCTCAGATCTCAGCCTCCTGAGTAGTTAGGATTACAGGCATGAGCCACTGGTCCTGGCCTACTCTTCTATTTTATAAGGTAATATCATACAAAACAAGGCAGACTCATCTTGAAACATTAAAATTAAATCTGCAAATCTATGGAGGTCTGTAAAGTTTCCTTAAAGATACCACACTGGCTAAAAGAAGCTACTGTTGTCCTACAGTGGGTGTGGGGCAATGTATCCTGATTCAGAGGTGGAAGGAAGGTGACCAATCCCAGGCCATGTAATCAGCAAAGAAAGGTAAGTTCTTCTGGTTTTCTTTGCTTTTAGCCATGCTGACTCTTATGAGATCATCTAAATTTGATCATACTATTCCACTAACAAATACAAAGTTGGTTGCAGCTCATTCTCACTGCCCTGATACTGTTTAAGAGTCACAAGGCAGAATGGGTCAGGACTGGAGAAACGAGGCTCCTCCTAGCCAGAAAAAGTTAAGTCATCTTCCTTCAGTGTCAGAGCATTTGCAGCTCCTGTCTGCACTTGGGAGAACCAAGCAGGCCTAGATGGCTTACCTTGAACACCATTATCAAATGGATAACTGGCCACCAGGGCACCGCCATGGAGGTTCGCAGAAAGGACAAATGTCTCTGTTTTCAGCCACTTCATGATTGCCAGAGTTTCAGGCTGCCTTGATACATTATTGTATTCAAAAGCATCTGGGAAATTTCTATTCAGGTCATAGTCATTAGAATTGCCCCTTTAAAAGAAAGAATGTTTTAGGACTTATTAGTGGTGTGGGAGGGAGATGGTCTTGCAGTGTACAGACCTCTAGCTTGGGCTTTGGATGTTTTCCCAAATGTATGCAAGTGTGGATTGTGGCCTTGGTAGCCTTCCAGAACCACACCTGGCATTCTTGTCCTATATAGTCCTCTATGTTGTGATTTGCTGTCACTAGTGAGATATTGGCTATCATGATACAAGCAGAGGCTTGCATTTAGGACTTTTTCTTGTTTCCTTTGAGAACCTCAGACCCCAATGATGACCACCTGGAAAGGCCCCATGGGGAAGTGAAGAACTAGGTAAAGGCCAGAATAAGACCCTAGACAACCTAGATGGTTGTCTCAGACTGACTGGGTTGCGGTACAGAGATTAGCTGTTGTTGTTCTGTCCTGCTCAGGACTCTGACTCACAGAACCAAGATTAAATAACAAGATTGTTGTTTTGAGTCACCAAATGTGGGGACAGCTCTTTACATAGAATCTGATCATTGATCATTGATCTCATCATGGAGAACACACTTTATACCATGGAAAGTGGTTGTGATAGATATGCTAGAAATAGAGTTAAAGAAATCCAGTGATGAGATTTTATTTTTCTCAATGAAAAAAATTGTTTCATGTTTCTGAGACAGGATCTCACTATGTGACCTAGGCTGGCTGTGAATTCATGATTCTTTTGCTTCAGCCTCCCAAGTGTTGGGATTATTGACATATTCTACCATGCCTGGCAAGAAAAAATGATAAATTATACAACTATGCATGTATATTAGATATTTGGGGAATATTAGATATTTGAGAAATTCTAAACCTCCCAAGGTAGCTTGAAATAAAATAAATTGTTCATACCAGAACTTATCTATGAGCTATTCTTCTCTGGTTAGTTCTGAGACAACTGGCTTAGCAAATCAATGGTGATTAATTATTGAAGACCTGGGTTCTGTGTTAGGAATGAGGGAGCTAACAATGATGAATGGACAGGATTCCTGCCTTCCAGTAATTGCCAGTTCTGTGGGCATTGTGGGGTGGGGAGGGAGAGGTGAGAGGAGAGGATATTAAATAAGAAATCACACACTGAAAATTGTACTCTGAAGTTGGGTGCTGGTGGCTCACACCTGTAAATCTTAGCTACTCAGGAGGTTGAGATGAGAGGCTTGTGGTTAAAAGCCAGTGAAGGACAGGGAATTCTGTGACTCTTAATCTCCAGTTAACCATCAAAAAGCTGGAAGTAGAGCTTTGGCTCAAGTGGGAGAGCCTTGAGTGAAAAAGCTAAGGGACACTGCCCAGGCCCTAAGTTCAAGCTCTAGTATTAGTGCAAAAAAGGAAGGAAGGAAGAAAGGAAGGAAAGGAAAGGAAAGGAAAGAAAGAAAGAAAGAAAGAAAGAAAGAAAGAAAGAAAGAAAGAAAGAAAGAAAGAAAGAAAGAAAGAAAGAAAGAAAGAAAGAAAGAAAGAAAGAAAGAAGAAAGAAAGAAGGAAAGGAAAGAAAGAAGGAAAGGAAAGAAAGAAGGAAGGCAGGCAGGCAGGCAGGAAGGCAGGCAGGCAGGCAGGCAGGAAGGAAGGAAGGAAGGAAGGAAGGAAGGAAGGAAGGAAGGAAGGAAGGACGGAAGAAGGAAAATAGTGCTCAGAGGGTAAAGTGGATTGGAGAGTTTACCAGGAGACCTGATAGAGGATGTGTGGTCAGAGGCATCTTGGAGGGACTGCTGCTGAAGCAGAGGGAGAGGTAAAGAGGGGAAGAGGGGTGTGCCACCTGGTAGTACCATGAGATAGATGGAGGATGGTGAGAGAGACTGGTACTGGGGAACTATGGGGGTGTACCCAAGGGGTGGAAGGTGGAGCAGACAGTCGGGCACAGGAGTCCTCAGGACTCCATGTTTCATCCTACCAGCCACAGGCAAGAGTTAAGAGCATCAGCACACCTGACATGACACAGGCTGTCAGGTGCAATACCATTTGGGGTCTCGTCTTCTCTGGGCTGACAGGTACCTGCCTAATGAGGAGAGCCTTTTCATTGTTTTGTCTTGTTTGCAATTAAGTTAGACCTACTCATCTTTTACCTTCCACTATTATAGAAGCAGTCGGGCTTTTTGACAGATTCAAAGCCGTCTGGGTTCATCGAAGGCATGATGTGTATCCGAGTATTGTTGATGAGCTTTGTAATCTCCGTGTCCTTCCCATGGTTGGTTACGAGATAGTCGATCAGGTGGAGCAGCATTTCCCGCCCCACAGTCTGTGTGGAAGAGAAAAGGGGTGCTGCCAGATCAGATGCAATAAGGACACAATCATGTGCCTAAATGGATTTGCTAGTAAAAGTTTTAGCACTTATTTGTACATAATTTCATGTGTGTGTGTGTGGGGGGGGGGGTGATGAAGATTGAACCCACAATAACTTACTTTTTCAAGAATGAGTTAGAGTACATGTGTTCTGATCATAGTAATTTTTACTTGCTTGTCATCCACAATACTTACGGAATGGTCAAGAAAGAAGCAGAATCTCAAAGAACATTCACTACTGCTACATGCAACATTGTAGAGCTTGAGGTCAAATTTATTAATCAAGTTAATAATTTTAACAGGTTTCAGATGTCCACTGTCTCCCATTATAAGCCCTCTTGCACATTTCTGTAGTGTTTTTTTTCTGATTCTGTGCATTTCTGATCTCCATTTGATGTTTCTGAACCATAGAAACATGAAACCCTAAGCCATTGGCCTATTGTTCACCATTTTGGGGGGGCTATCTGTTCTTTTAAATGAACCCACCTTTTTGCTTATATTAAAAAATAAAACTGCCGGCCGTCGGTGGCTCATGCCCGTAATCCTAGCTACTCAGGAGGCTGAGATCTGAGGATCGCAGTTCAAAGCCAGCCCAGGCAGGAAAGTCCGTGAGACTCTTATCTCCAATAAACTACTAGAAAACCAGAAGTGGCGCTGTGGCTCAAGTGGCAGAGCGCTGACCTTGAGCTGAAGAGCCTGAGGGACAGCGCCCAAGCCCAGAGTTCAAGCCCCACGACCCACCAAAAAAAAAAAAAAAAACTAAGCTAGGCACCTTGATTCATGCATATAACCCTGGCTCCTTGGGAGGCTGAGAGAGGGTGATCACAGTTTGAGGCTAGTCCAGTGGGAAAAATACTCTCACGACCTCTTCTCTACAAGTAGCTGAGTATGTGGCATACACCTTTAATACTAGCTTTGTAGCATGATAAATGGATCGAGGTTCCTCTAGGTGCATGCCCAAGAATGAAGTGAGACTGTCTGAGAAATAACCAGTATAAAAAGGGTTAGAAATTTGGTCAGTAGGTATAGTACCCACCTAGCAAGCAGGCGGTACTGAGTTCAAACCCAAGTACCCCCCACATACACCTCTGTATCATTATCACTTTGGTATATATATATATATTTCTTTCTTTTTGGGTCCAGTCGTGGGGTCTGAACTCTGGGCCTGGGCACTGTCCCACAGCTCTTCAGCTCAAGGCTAGCGCTCTACCACTTGAGCCACAGCGCCACTTCCAGCTTTTTTCTTTTTGCTTATGTGGTGCTGAGGAATGGAACCCAGGGCCTCAGGCTTGCAAGGCAAGTGCTCTACCACTGAGCCACCTTCCCAGCCCCATATATATATATTTCTAACAATGAGTAAAAGAGTGTAAGTATTAAAAAGCTTTCACATCCAACTAAATTACCTTCTGTGCCACCGAGGACCTGGGAACTGAAGGACTGGAGGGGTTCTCGTTTTATAATACCCAAGGGAGGTTTACAATTTTTCTTACTTTTAAAAAAACTTTATATAGTCTAGTCACGTCTTCCTAATAAGACGTGACTAGACTATATAACATCGTACCTATGATTCTGGGCTAGAGGAATCTGCTCTTGAAGACCAGATGTTAGAAGACAGATGCTAGGAACCAGGACAAAGTGGGGCAGAGGTTAGATGAGGACTTGACTGTTGCTGCTGCTCAGGAAAGCATTTAATGGAGTCTCAAAAGTACTTGGGTCGCTGCTGCACTGTAGAAATGCAACACTTTGACCCAGGATGATGACCCCTGGGTCACTCCTTTATCGGCCTCACTGGCACATAAAGAAAAAACAACCAACTCTCCTTTATATATTTTGTTATCCTACACAGGATAGTGACAGCAGGGCCTCAAACATTGTGATATGTGAATTTTATCTTCACATGTAATAGCAATGCAATTCAGAGCGGAAATCACTCAAACCTGACCTCAGTTTTTTTCCTGCTCATTTTTCTCTTCCTCTTCCACACACATGACTTTTTCAATCATTTTGGTTTTATTCTCTGGTTAATACATGTAAATATGATTAAATTTCATACATCTTATTAAAAGGTAATACATACAATATGTCATACAACCTGCTTTAAATTCTTTTTATTAGTGTACATTAATTGTACAAAAGCACCTCATTGTGCTATTTCCATATATTCATGTAATATTTGATCAATTCACTCTATTACTCTTTCCTATCTCTATTCCCCCTTTTATATATTTTTTTAAAATTTTATTCTGTTTTTTGTCAGTTGTGGGGCTTGAACTCTGGGCTTGGGTGCTGTCCCTCAGCTCTTCAGCTCAAGGTGAGTGCTCTACCACTTGAGCCACAGCGCCACTTGCAGTTTTCTAGCGTTTTTTTGTTTGTTTGTTTGTTTGTTTTTTGTGAAACTACTGTACAGAGGGGTTACAATTACATGGGCAAGATAATGAGTACATTTCTTATCAAGCATTGCACCTCCTCCTTTGTTTCCCCTTTCCATCCCTTCCCATCCTCCCCCTCTCCCCCCCAGTGGTTTTTATTGGAGATAAGAGTCTCATGGACTTTCCTGCCCGGGCTGGCTTTGAACTGAGATCCTCAGCTCTCAGCCTTCTAAGTAGCTAGGATTACAGGTGTGAGTCACTGGTGCCCAGCTTAAAACCATGCTATTTTTTACAGAAACAGTAAAACCATGGTTCAGGAGATATGCATATAACTAAAATGTTTTGTTTCAATATTCCACAACCATCATGTATTCTTCATTGCTGAGACTGACAAAGAAACAATTAAGCATTGGATAATTTCATGAATACCAAAGAAAACAGATGAAACTCCAGAGGGATTAAAACAAAACCCTTTTTTTCTATTGGGCCTCATTTGATATTTCTGTAACAGCAAATTTATGCCAAATATTATTCAAATGAATTCTTCCCATCCATATCTCCATTACTCACTTATGTTTTATGCATAAACTTGCTTCCCTTCCTAATTTTAAGACTTTAGAATGAAGTCTTTGAGTATGAGACCTTGGAGAGTTCATATTTTAAGAAAGAATGGATCAAATCAGCATGCCTTTACTTAGCCAGCACTTCCTTTGTCGTGCGTGCTTCCTTACTGTAAGAATGAACCCTACATCAGAGCAGCTCACACACAAGCTTCGGTGACTCAAGGACAGTTAGAATGGCAGCAATCCAGAAAGTAGAACACAAATTCCCTATCAGGTGTAGTTCAATTTCTGCCACTGTGCAATTTGCCAGACAGTTATAAGTGAGTCTGAGTCTAGCTCTCCCAAGAATGCTTATGAACAGGAATTTTGTTGTTGTTGTTGGTTGTGGGGCTTGAACTCTGGACCTGGGTGTGGTCCCAGAACTCTTCAGCTCAAGGCAATCGCTCTATCACTTGAGCCACAGTGCCATTTCCGGTTTTCTGGTGATTAATTGAGATAATAGTTTCATCCTTCCCAGGCTGGCTTTGATCATCAGATCTTAGCTTCTTGAGTAGATAGGATTACAGGTGTGAGCCACTGGCACTCAGCCAGGAACATTTTTTGAAGAAAGAAACTATAACACAGATAGTAATAGTAGTAATAGTAGTAGTAGTAGTAGTAGTAGTAGTAGTGTGTTTGTATAAGAGGGAGAGGAGAGAGGAAGTGCCAGAGAAACTTTGGCTTTCCTAATTGTGGACTGTTTTTAAAATGCTATACTGCAAGGCAGGTTCTAGAAGGAAATGATCAGTTCTGGGACTCCAGTGTGGTGTGTGTCAGATTTGATTCATTTAGCTGACTGCCTAACTAGTTCTTCTTCTTCAAATATCAATCTACATGTTACGTATCTGTTAGAAACACCCACCTCCCCCTCCCCCCATTGCAAATTAGTCTAACTTACTCCATTTCGTAAAGGACTCCATTTTGTCTGGCAGGAAGGCAGTTTGCTTTGCTTTACAGACTGTTGTGAATTCAAGCAGAACCCAATCTATGTATTGTTTTGACAATATATTCCTGGAAAGGATTGGACAAGCAGACAAATAACCTCCTTGCCAAAATAAATAAATAAACAAAGAAATTGACAACTCCAACCATTTCCTAGAATAGCTAGCTGAACTCAAACTACAAAACAAAATGTCAGTAATACAGTCTTTCTCCATAAGCACTGATGTTTACAAACCCAGCCCTAACACCATGATGGACACTATAAGCATCTCTCTCTCTCTCTCTCTCTCTCTCTCTCTCTCTCACACACACACACACACACACACACATACACACACACACACATGCATATATTATAGACTTGGTTCCCTAGCTCTCCTGGGAAGTGAACAAGGATTTTTGCCACCTTGCCAGTCTGCCTCTTGGTGAATTCCTGTACACTCCCTGCACACAGGCCAAAGACCCCAGATTTAATTTTACCTGTCATACTTTTCCTGGTGTGGCCCTTACATATCACATCTGTGCTACTTAATGCTGTTCACATACATTACAGTCACCTGACTGACACGTCCTCCCCCACTCCACCATGTCTAAGCCTGGACGTGGGACCTAATCCATTTCCTTAGTATCCCTGGTCTATCTTGCCCAACTCCTGATATGCCACGTATTTAATAAATAACTGCTAATTAACTACTGTTGACAAATCCACTATCAAGCCGAGTCTTGTGAGGAAGGACTTTTGAAAACATGTGGACTTAAGGTGCTCAGTGAGTGAGACATATAAATAATAATGTGATTCCAAGGATTTTCCACACTGAACAAATATTACAAGGTTCAGGGCTATCATTTCTGCTTACGACAAAAACTTGGGGCATCTGGTCACTAAAAGGACAAATAAAAGCATTACTTGAGGAATCGAATATATGCTTAGAATGAAGATGATGTACTACTTGGAATAATCAATAAAGAGCTTAGTCTAACTTAAAAAAGAAGCAGTTTAATCATTTAAACATTGTACCACTGAGGTCATTTTGCTATTTTAG